TGCAATTATTGTATTTCTTGGTTTACCAACAAATAAAATACAAATATTTATTCAATAAACATAAATAGTACCAAACACATACGAAAGGATACATGATTACAGTCAACAGACACAGCGTTAATTCTAGGAGCCCTGAACAAGTTCGCATGGTTAATTGTTGGTTACCAACAAGAACAAGTTCGCATAAGACCTGGCTCAGGCTGAACACAAGCGCATAATGGCGCCAATTTAAAGACCCATGGAAGCCGTCTGCCCCACAGTTGACACAATCTTTTGAGCGAGACAAGCTTGAAAGGAGCCTGCTGAGTGCTGAGTGCGACTGAATCCGGAAACACAATGCCAGTGGCCGCGCTGTCAGGGTCATGCAATGTGTGATACGACCCTCTGCATCAGAACCCAACCGATTAGGAATAGGAACTAACCAATCCTCTGCCATGCCAGTCCCTGACATAATTATTCGGGGTTTCTTTTGGCTGGGCCAACAGTAGAAGTAACGACAACCAGTCCCACATGAACTCGCAATAGAGCTAGCTCTACATAACTACAAAATGATGAAACCAAGAAGAAATTAAGCAGCGATCCAATTTTGTTTCCTTTACATTGAAAAAGAGGGATGGCATCTCTACAATATTATCTCCTTTTTTATTTCATTTTCTTAGATTATGTTTGATTTGAAGGAAAAGGAAGAAAAAAACAAAAACCTATGCAAAGTTTATAAAGATTTTCTTACATTTTCGTTCCTTTTCCTCCATTTTCCTTCAAACCAAACATAGCCTAAAATGTTTTAGTTCCAATACTGTCTCATTGATAAAGGACCAGCTGAGGAGGGGGTAGCTATAGCTAGGGATGGTTGATGCCCACAAACTTGTGCCTTCATATAATTCCTCCTCCTTGTTCCAAAACACATAATGTTCCAAGCTGCATGATTAGAAATAGAGTTGCATGGACGCCTAACCCTTGCCAGCAGTTGGAAAGACAAGAGACAATAGACAGGAGGGTAAGGAGAGAACATGGCACACGTCCCTACACATGATCAATTTTAGATTAATAAGCCGTACAAATAATAGAGCATCTAATTTGAAAGAAACCGGATCTACTCCTCACACCTTATATGCACATCTTATCATGCATTGGAAATATTTTCCATACTTATTTATTATTATTCAGGAAAGATATTTCCAATGCACCGTGAATGTGCCACCTATTTGTGAGGAGCAGATCCCATCATAATTTGAAAGGCCAACCCCTCATCCTCGTGTTCCTGGGCGAGCCATATCAAATTATCACTACAATAACTGTGCCAACTTGTTCCAACATGATCTGTATCCGTGCGCGCACATCACAGACATGATGGGAGATTTGTGGACATGGATCATGTTGGATCTTTATTGGGACATTTTTGTTATTAATAGATCTCCTTCCAGAGCTCGGGGCTCTCCAAAGTCCAATCCAAACCCAAAAGACTCCACAGATCACAAATCCAACACAAGTGGGTGTGTCCTCCTTTGCCCAGACAGACAGCCAAACCATCCAACCCTTTAACAATGACAGAGAGAGACCCTGCCCATGATACCATGTATCCTCCTTCAAAGGACCATCTTAAGAGACAAAAAAAACCAGGGCTTTCTCTCTCTCTCTCTCACACATTCAGTCATTAAATACTTTTATCTTTCTCTGTATTTTGAATCCTGCCTATAAATTTATCGCAATTAGAAGAAGACAAAAGAATGGGGTTCGAATTTCGACCGTTAAACGGGGAGGTTGATATCAGATAATCATCATTGGTATTTCTGTGTGAGCGTCATATGTCAAACAATTTAAAGACATCCTCAGGACCTCAGCGACTCCAGAAACCTATTCCCATACCCCCCTCATTAATAATCTCAGAGGCTAGCTACCTCAACACCTATATAGAAATTTTTTTATGGATTCTTCGTCGTCCGCATTCCAGGTGCACGTGTCCAGAGACTCACACAGCTTTTACTGTTTCATCTCTCTCTATATTTTAACTTGTAAGAGACTAGAACGCAAGTGAAGGTGGACTGAAGCACGTGAACAACCGTCAGAGGCAGTGGACTTACAGGCGGGAGGGTAACGGTCGGTTTAGGTGGTGGTGGCGGTGACCGTTGGAGCATTCTCTTTGTACCATGAACTTGGTGTCAGTAGTTATAATGAATGATCTCTCCAACTCTTCTCGTTGGTCTGTTACGTTTACCTATTATTTTATTATCAAGAAAAATGGTTAAAGACTTGGAGACAAGAATTCCTCCAAGTATCTGATGAAGAGAGATACTACCAGCGAGTAGCGAAAGAGAGCAAAGTAAAACCAGGTGGCATTTAGATTCTTTTATGAAAATGAGGTGGCCGGTCGGTCTGTTCTTATTATATCTTTCTTTGATTCTTTGAGCAGAGTAGTTAAGTGGTTTTATTTTATTTTATCGAAGTACATTTGGCTCTTGCTTTATTAAATACTAATAAGATAAGCGGGTGGCCCGGAATATAAAACTGTCAGGAAGTTGGGATTTTCTTTTGCTTTTTGTTATATGTTTGCGTGTGTGTTTTTTGAGTAATTCAGCCAGGCTTTTTTACTTTTGTATCTTTTGTTAATACCACTGTTTTCAAAACCGGACGAAACCGGGAACTGATTATTTGATCGGTTCCGTTTTCTTCTGAAACCGTTTTTTCTCTTAAAACCATTGATTTTGGTCAGTAAACCGTTAAATCAGTCGCTTATTCCTTTAAATTATTCAAACGGTTTTGACAGTTTTACAATTTTTTAATTTTTTATTTTTTTGTTAGAACGGGCAAACTATTCGAGCCGATAACCGGACCCCTGATTGGTTCGATTACCAGTTCGTTTTTAAAAACCATGTTTAATACAGCTTTTATTGGTAATTAAATTTTCAAGCACAACCAAAATCCCCATGGGCTTGCAGTTGCCTTGCAATGGACGTTTGGATGAATATGGCACTTGGGCTTGATATTAAAACGGACAAAGCCCATAGATAGAAACAATGAGCTGCATGACCTGGTAGTTGAAGGCTAGATGGACGATGGTTATTCGGCATCACTTCCAAAGCAGATATTCTGGGATCGACTCCTGTAACTGCAGGCTCTATCTCTATGGTGTGGGCCTCATCCTCACACACACCCTGCACTGTCCTCGTCCTAGAGTCTCTACTTAAATTGACTAACTCGACAAAGGCCTGCAACTTGGGTCAGGTTAGCTTGGGACCCAATCTGAAAAAGCTGGGTTGGGCTTAGGTTATGAAGGGTTGATTTGGAACTCAACAGTTCTGGTTCGGGCTGGGTTAACCGGTTAAGGTTGAGCTCTCTCCAACCCGACTCGATTTGCACCCATTTTATCCAGGAGGCCGCAGTCGGAGGCAGGAACTAGGAAGGCATGTGGGCACAGATGGGGTGATTCGTTTCATCAAAATCAAGGGCAAGTCGATAATATCAGTCACGAAAAAGAAAAGCACAAACAGCATATGATGTATCAAGTGCATAAATCTACTACTTTTGGTCTATCAAAGAAGTCGTCAAGTAATCCAACAACCAACTAGTGGAATTGCCGAGGCAGAGACAACAGAGGGTGCCTTAAGCTGCAGCTGGACAAGACAAACGAAATCCTTTCTCCATTTCCAAAGAATCCAAAAGACGACTGCAGCGTCTGTTTTCAGGCTAACAAAATCCTTTCTCCATTCCTTGCAAATGCCGCAACCTCCATCGTCTTAAAGGTCTAAACTCCTCAACTCATCAAGTGAGTGATGATTATGTTCCACCTCTGTCGTTGACGGGTCGTAATTCGTAAATCTATATCCATGCTCCCATCCTTTGGACAATCAGAAGATTCGGTTGGGTGCATAACGCCATCATACCCCATACAAATATCAATCACGAGTCAGGGCCGACGGTACACCACTGTATCGTAGTACACCGTTGTAACGTGGGTGGAGTGCTCTGAGAAGTGAGAACACAACGGTTGATGGCCTGGGCCCTACCGCCTTCTGCTGTCCCACGTGTTCACACTCCACTCAATGACACGTGTACCTAAATTGCCATCTAAAGAGAGTAAAGAGACTCGAAAACCGTTGTTGTTGCTATGACCGTAAGACGCTCCCCCCCACCCCACGAATTTTGAAAATTTTGAATTTACAAACAGAAGAAAGGACTGACTGACAGACAGACGAGAGAGAGAGAACAAAACAACCAGCATGTAGTTTGTACGTTCTCCCAGAAAACAACAAGCGACTGGCAGAAAGTTGCCACCTGTCACCGACCGCCCCAATGGTACGGTTACAACTTCATCCCATGGTCCCGCCCCTTCTTTCACAAATCACAATCACCGCACCACCTTCGTTTCCGCACACTCTCTCATCGCCCTTTCCGTTTGATTGGAATAACGATTTTACTCAGAACTCCAGAATCCTCGTAGAGAGAGAGGCCAGTGTCATTCACTGCCGTTGAAATCGACCATCTTACTAAACCTCGTTGTTCTGTCTCTCAAAAGTTGAACGGGAAGAAGGTTTTCATGTCAGTCAGGTCCGAATATCTCGAAACCCCGTCCATTTCCCCTTTTCCCAAACTCCCATAGACGACGACTGCCCTCCCTCAAATATCTTGTTCTCAATCAGTCAATCTCTTCTTCTTAGCGCCACCTCTCAATCTCCTCTTATCAATTTTAGGAAAACAAATTTTTCTCTTTTCTCTATTTTTTTAACCGGAAATATTTTCCGTTAACAGAGTAGAAACGTGTAACGGAAATCACGGTGGAAAGTATCCAGGCCACGAACCCAGATATATCTCATCCTCCAAAAATATTAGCAATTACGTCGATGGGACACCGTAACGTCTCTTTTTTTTTTTTTTTTAAATCTGAGAGCACGTGCGTGCATTTCACTAGAAGAAGGATCAAAATCTTGGAGAAAGCAAACCAAAACGAAAAAAGAAAAATTAATACTCGAGCCCAAATAGTAAGTTACTGAGTTGTATACCAGTTTTATGTATTTAAGAAACAAATACAATTCATATTTACTTTAACTGTTTTACATATAACATATATTTTTTAAAAAATTAAAATTATGCTTTTCTTCTTAGTACTACAACGCGTTTCCCGTTTTTTTTCCTTCATTTTACCAGAACGGGCAAAGCAAACACGAGGCTTTGAAATATGAAAAATAAAAGAATCTCGATGGCAGTTCCCCGTTTCCCAATATGTTTCCGGTTTATCGGGAACCGCTATTCATGACCGCGACCGACTCGGCCAGTTTCCCGATCTTCTCAACGACCTCCGGTGATAATTTCTTCATTGGTTTCCTTTCCTTTTCTGGCCGAAAATCGAAACCCAGTGCGTCTGTTATCTCCTCCGAACTCCAACCCGCTTTTCTGAGCGACTCGGAGAACCGGTCTGCCTTCAAGAGTAGAGCGTCTAGAACTGCTTGGCCGTCTAGCAGTACATCTCCTTCGAAAAAACCGGATGCCGATACCTGTACGATTTCCTCGACGTCCAACTCGTCCCACCCGCCTTCTCTCAAAACCGATCCGATCCGCTCCAAGTACCCTTCTACCCATCTCGGCAATTTCGTCCGTAATATTGGTCGGGAGATCTCGATATACCGCTCCGGTGATGACGGAGACGACAACGATGAAGAATTTCTACGTCGCCGATCAAGAACCGCGTCACTCCAGAATTCCACCCATCTGGGTGTCCTCCCCCCGCTGCCACCGGAATCTAAGCTTCTCCTTGAGAAATTAGAAGACGATCCGGCGGCAGTCTTCTCACTAACGGATCGCTGCTTCTTAAGGATACAAGAGTCATCGCATCGGAACACTGACTCACGTTCGAAGAAATCAGAGAGATCCGCTCCACAACAAAAGATGCGATTCTCGTCCACGAAGAAAATAGGGTTTCCAGCCAGGCAGGGATTGCAGGGGATGTAGCAGTGGTTGAAGAGAGGGATCAAAAGGGGTGCCCTCTTTAGAGCATTTCGAGCGATACGTAGCGCCTTTTCCGGGTCGGATGGCCGTGGGCCCCAAGATTTGGGCCAGAGAGCGTTACGTGCAATCTGGAAGGAAATCGCAGCGATGGGTAGGTCGAGCGAAGCGCGGAGGTGCAGTCGGGAGCCAGCACCGGCACGCCAGTCAGGGAAACCAGGCCCGACTGGAAGGCCAGCGGAGAGAACGGCACGGAGGTCGGGAGGGAAGGCGAAACCGAACTCGGCCTCCGCCCTAGCAAACTCAGCGTCAGAGAGGCCTTCTTGAACAGGAATACTGGAGTTGCGAAGGTGAGAGATGACCTTATCGGCGAGGGAAGAAAAAGAAATGAGACCATTTCGTGGGGGGAGAGTTGCGGTGACGGAGGGAGCAGCGGCAGCTCGGGCAGAGAGACGGCGTAAGCCGGCTACATGGGCCGGGTTGAAACCGGTCATTCTGCGGTCGACGTCGACCATGGTAGCCGTAACGATGAAGGTTGCGTGAGGAGCAGTTGTTATCGTCGGCGGAAACGTCCGAGAGCTGACAGAGTTATTGTTGTTGTTGGTCTCTCAGTTTTCTGAAGGGAGACTAGACTAGAGAACGAGAAATAATACCTGTGATTTGTGAGAGAAGGAAATGGCTAGCGCTTTTAAGCTCAAGCGTGTGTGTGTATGCGTTTGTGTTATCTTCTGTGAGCTCAGAAAGAATAGGGAGTTCTTATAAGCTGTGGAAAATGGGACCCACCGGAGATTTTGGTTGCTACTTGGGAGAGAGTGAGGAGTGAGGATGGCCGGATAGGGTTACCACTCACTTATTACTAGTTCAAAAATACTCCGGGGGGGTTCCACGTTAATGGCATTTATGTCACTGTCGCGAAGGCATTGGGACCCACTCTGAAATCTTTTCTGTGAAAGGGAGGATGCTAAGATGAGGAGGGGATGAATTGAAGGGTGAATGGGATGCTGTCAGCCACCGTGGTGTGGGGTCAATTTTTAGGGGCAGGAGATAGGAGGGGAGGGGAGAGGAGTCGTGTGAGTGTCCGATGGAAATTGTTTTTGCAGCTGTAATGATATATCATGTGGTTAGAAGCTTGTAAAGTTGGAAGTAGCGTGCGTCGTCTATTGGGAAACGACGGAGCTCAATTAATTACGCCCCTAAAGCGTTAATGTGAAAGCAATATCTCAAGGGCTTAACGTTTAAGCGCGGGTACTTTGGGTCGGGGTCGGGTCACGTCCGAATTTTCTTTTTTAAATGGAAAAGACAAGTAGTAGTGTAATACTCCCTCAGCCTCTGGCCCTCTGCCTCCTGGTCCTGTACCGTAGAGTGAAGTAATATACAAGGGACTTGAGGGGTATTAATGTCAAATGGTGGGTAGGTTTCTGCTGTGCCTGAAGAGTGTGTACACAAGAAAGAAAAGCAACAGGCAGCGTGAGGTGAAGCGCAGAAGCGGCAGGCACAAGTAACAACGGCCGGCATTCTACATTTCTATGTATGAACTATGAAACCCTTTTCTTCTAAATTTTTTTTTTTTCCGATTGGGGGTTCAAATCGTACGCCTGGAGTCTGTGCACGTCGGTGCATTTTAGCGAGAAGCAATTCCTGGGATGATGACTGATGACTTTGAGTCGCAGAATAAATAATGTGCAGAGACTTTGTACAGATAAAACAAAATGTTAAATCCAAGGAGACCTTTCTTCCTGACTTTGCTACAGGTTTTAGTTAGGCAAGAAGATTCCACTTTTCAAGGGCATTTCTGACATAAATTTAATATTTTAACATTTGAAAGCAATATTATCGGGATATGATTGGACCGGATGGTCGAACCATTGAGACCAAACATATTTTTAAATACTAAGAAGATATGGGAAATAAGATTTTGCATTGGAGCAACCATGAGTGCACATGACCCTGCACTTAACTCTGGGCCGAGGAGGAGCTTGACTTGGACTTTGGGAAGGCTAACACGTGGGTTGTTCTTGAATTTTGCTCCTTGATTTGATTTTAGGGATCATACCCAAAATAATCTAATAGTATAAAAAGAAAGCTTATAATCATTTGGTCGGTGGTGAGACTGTGAGAGAGTTCGGGGCCTATCCTAAATCCTAACGATTTGACCGTTGAAATGAATGCTCTCAGAGAGAGAACGACCTGAGAGCTTATTTTATGATAAATGACAAATGCACAACTTCTAATAACTAGGATCAGAGTCACCCTTCAACTATCTTGTTAGAAGGAAAAGGAAGCTGAATTTGTTTCATTTGTGAAGGCATTCGGGCAGGACCACACTACACACAATCCCCGAAATTTCAACATCTATTACAAGGAAGTGATACCTAAGAGATCGACTTTGGAATTGTATGATTTTGGAAAAGTCTATGGGCCACACTGTAGGCAACGATGGTTGTGACGTTCACATAAGGTATTGGAAAGATCAGCGGAAATTTGCATGAATTCTCCATAAAGCATGCCCCACATGTATATCTAACCAAGCATTGGAAATATCTTTTCGACAGATATTTCTAATGCACTGTTGGATGTGCAAATAGGGTGCATCTTGTGAGGAGCCTAGCATTCAAATCTCAGTATGCATTGGAAAGTGGGAACATTTCTTGATTTTGTCAATTTAAGATATTCCCGATACACGGATGGAATTGTTGAGTTCCAGTGGAGCTCAAATCTGAACTCCATCATGGGCCAGTGTCCATGCAATTGTCTTTGACAGTAGTGGGGCAGGATGAGAAACAGAGATAGGGACTCACATTAGAGTTAAGAAAAAAGGAGACCACTGATTTTGCCTTGGTCCTGCGCTTCAAAATTCAAGCCCTACAGTATTGTTGGTTATACTTTCCGACCATGTTCTAATTTGACAGTAAACCTACTATTTTTTAAATTGACACATTTTTTGTAATGTTTGGACTTTGGAACAATTAAAATTTAAAAAGGATCCCAACCCAATTATAATCAGGAGTTCAGGACTCATTATGCATACCCGGATCCGGTTCGGGTCGGAACTGTCACAGACCCATTCACAACCTCACCATCCAAAATTCGAATTTGAATGCAATTATGTCAATAAGGACGATCCAAATTAGTTCCATTTATAAGGGGGTGGAGTTTGGACCCACTCTTATCTAATCCGATATGGTTCGATTCCATAATATTATGTTATTCGAATGATGAACTATATACTCTATACACGAGAAAGAGAAAGAGAAAGAGATAGAGATGACATTGCTCAAGAAATTTCCTTGCATAGGTTCACGGATGTCATGGGTATTCTCAAATCTCAACCATGAGTTGGGTCCGAACTTGTAATCTCCACCGATCCCTTTTATACCACACACGGGCTCAGACACCAACCACAAAATCTGATAGATTCCAGTTAACCAACTCATTAGCTCCAAATTATTCAAAAGAAAACTAATTTGATGGGATCCTGGAAATTTCCAATGAGGTAGTGGGTACCATCACATTGTACCAGTGTACGTCATTAGTTTGTTAATTGTTAGGGTACCAAGTACATATACAATTGTCTTCACCCACTCAATATTCTTCTATCCAACTTCTGCTCTCCTTCCTCCTCTTCACTCTTCAGTCTTAACCAATTAATGTTAGCATGATTCAGATCAAAATGAAGGGTGCAGATGCTCCCAGTATGACGTGGTTTTGACATAATGTCACAATTAATTATATACAAATTTTGGGGGCCAAACGCATGCTTAACTGGAATTAAATGGCTTTGTAGGTATAGTGTCCAAGCAAGTTTATTTTATTCTTATAAACTGATGAATTAAGGCATGTATTAAAATGAAGTTTAATAAAACCGTAGAGGGATCCACTCCATGTGCTTCTTCAATCTTATGGAAACAAAAAGAAAAAAAAAAACATTTAAAAGTAAAGGATTCTTCTTCTTCTTCTCCCACTTTTTCATTAAAGGTGTCTAGTGTTTATATCCAGAGGGAAAAGGAATTGGGGAATAATGGATCGTTAAAGCCTATAAAGTGGTTTGGGAAGATAGGGGTATCAATTGCTTCATTATTTGTAACTTGTGACATTAATAAATTACAACAAAATAACTTAGAAGCTTGTTAGTGAAAGAGGTAATAGATTAGGTTACTTTTTGACAAAAGGGTTTATTAGAGTAGCCTGGTATAGTACCCATCCAACTCAAAACTCAGCCGAGTCGACTTAACTCATGACCCCAACCTAACTAAATTTTGGATTTTTACTTAGAGAAACGATTCCAATTAACTTCCCGTATGTATGTCACAAAATTTCCTGCAGTTGAAGCTTTTCCTTTCTCTTCTCTTTTTCTTTACAATTGTATAGCAATTCATCATTTTATTTGTAAGTTGATTTGTTGACCTTAGAAGTAAACTCGACCCACTGAATCGTTTTGAGTCAAGTCGACTCGACAGGCTTATTTATTTATTTTTTCTTGAAAACTGAAAGACTGAAGAGGCTTTTAGAATACCTTAGAAGTAGAAGAAGATATGTTAGTGTGGAAATAAACTTAGTGAGAAATCTTATTATGTACTAAAGGCAACACCATATAGAGTCCTTAGGATATGCTTTTTAATCTGAATAGTTGTGTAAAGTAACAATACTTTATGAGAGATGGACCCGCCCGTGTTGGTCACACCCTTTTTTGATTTGATGGTTACCATAATCTATAATTGAAGGGAGAGAGATGTTAACGGCTCAGGTGTACCCAATAGAACTAAACAGACCGAATTTATTATGTTGGTTCGGGTTTCCGATTAATAATTGGGTCGGGATTGGTCCTTTCTGTTGTTAATAGGTTCAGATCTAAACCGATTATATAGGAGATAATATATAATGATCACCTGGATTTTATATAACTTTTGTTGTACTTTATGCTTAAAAGTGTAAACTTCATAAACCATATATAAGATACTGTGGTTAAAAGTACATGCTTCTATCAACATATAAGCATGTTAATATTTTTCTCTAAGTTGTATTAAGGTTATATTGTTAAAATCAAGTATTAAACGATTATAACCATTGATAATTAAAGATGTCAAAATTAATCGGGTCAGACCCAATTGTCCTGAACCAGACCCGGCTCAATGACAGCAAGCCATGAGAGGTGTGCGTGTGATCGTAGAATAAAAGCTTCTAGTCTTCTAGATGCAACTTAGCTTGGTCCCCATCTCATACCAGCAGAAATCCCGTGTGGTTCATGGATTGCAAAGGAGCTTAAAGCTTTCTTTCATCTTTCATTTTATAAAGAAACTCACATAAATAATGGGGGAATAATATATATGGGGCAAGTTGTGTGATCATTGGATGTGGATGGTGCTTTTTCTAGGATCGATCATCAAAGCCCTGGTGGGTTAAACCGCCTTCATGAATTGGACGCCCTTTTCCATTCAAAATATCTCTTCTATCGACAATAAGTAGCCTTTGTTATTATGATCTGGAGGTGCGTGAGAGGGAATTCATGAAAAGAAAGAATTTCATCTTTATCTTATATGCAAAGTAAAGAGAATATGAGACAAAATTGTCACAATGAAGGCCTTGGGAGACTTTTCTTGCACCAAAAATTGACAAGTGATTGAACCTTTTCCCTAATAATCATAATAATTTTCATCATCTTAATCTTGTCCCAACTATATTGGTCTATTTCCTTATAAAAAAAAATAGATAGGATTGGCTACATCAATCTTGTTCCACCATTTTGTTGTATTAAATACACACGAAAATGACAAATCAATATCAATGACTACGAGAATTTGACAAAATTTTGGTGTTAGCTACCAACCTGACATGACCCTCGTTAATCTGGACTTAAAACGGTGATATGAGGAAAGCTCACGCTTGACAATAATTCCGCCTTTATAGTGTTCTATCACATTGATCAAAATGACCAAATAAGGGAGGGTTCCTCATGAAATGTATGGTTTGTATCCATATGTCAGTGGAGATCAAATCAGCCTCTTACAAGACTGTGCGCCCCACAATCTGCCATTA